GCTCATCGGATGGCGTTGTTGCGTGGCCGACGACACGCTCGTCACCTTCGCCGAACTGCTCGTTAGTCGATTTGAAGAGCAGTCAAGAGCGAAATTATTGAATGAGGTGAGCTTTTTGAAGGTCGCTCCAGAGGCACAAGCTTCAAAGGACATGTTTGCCCCGTTTAAGGTTGATATTGGATTTTCCACTTGATGTTCCATAATTAGAAAATCATTTCGGATTCAGGTTTCCTTATGAAGGCATTCAGCCATACAGCCATACAGCTTAGGAAATGCCCTTGAATGAACCAAAAATGACCAATGTTTCTACCTTTGTTATATGAGCTACTTTCTTGAGCCGCACCTAGGTATCGCAGTGATAACTATCGTCAATTACCACTCCTGAGGTCGAATTTTGGATTGAGCCATGCACGTGCTCCTGATGAATATCTCGACCTTGAATGATGGGTGCCAGACACGTCTGGGAGATTAAAATAGTATCGACATGTAATATGGACTGCCCGCGAATTGTGTAGACCGAACTGCACACAGTTGCCAGTGCTACGATCTGATGGAGATAACCATCCCAGATTGGTCAAGGAAAAAGTATTCTTCATCGTTTTTTATCCAGTGAATGTTTTCGAGCAGCTCCCTAAAACTTCTTATTCTTCTCATGTTTGCCAGTGGTGAAGCTAAACAGCTGATCAATGCAAAAACAGGAACCAAAGATTAGCAAGCGAATTTAATCAGATTTAGAAATCATGCACATCTTCTGTATCGTTTTTAGAAGGGGATAATACAACATAATTTCTTGAAAAAAGCGTCCAGGGATTGAAGAGAACTGTGCTTTTCCAGCGAGCATCACCTATGAAAGAGCTCGTTGGAAGCCTCCTTTCATACTTTGAATGGAAATGCCATCATAAACCTGCGCTTGTTCTCTGCTTTATTGTCCTCATTTCCTGGGCCGTCGTTATTTCCCTTGAAATATGTAGGTGAACTCTTCACTACCGTACAACATTGGTATCGCCTTGACGTGGTGGAAGGGTGGGAGCGATTGACGGAAGATCAATCGCTCGGTGAAGAGGATTATGAAGGCATGACCGCATCTGACCTCATTCCCTCTTTCCCTAGAAGAGGAAAGTTGTTCAGTGACTGGGTAATTTGAAAATACTGATTAATAATTATGCATGTAGACCCGGTTTCATTATTCATATTTCTTTCTATGGAAAAGGAGATTCTTTCGAATACACTTCCATTCTGCAAACATATCTGGTAATCATGAT